GGCCCAGCAGAGCAGGAATCCCTGTGGGAGGCAGAGCAGCCGCCTCTCTGAAGGCATCAGAACAGCTCTCTCCTCCTCCTCCCATCACAGCCCAGAGCCCCAGCACAGACTCCAGGACTTGTCCCCCGGTCCCTGGCTTTCCCTGTCTGGGTGGACATTTCCCTCCCAGACTAGGCTGCAGAAACAGTGGTTAAAATTCTCCATTGCTCATCCCGAGTGTGCATTCTAGAGTGATATGAACACACAGTGCCATGTTGAGAATGTGGCGGGAGAGGCCTGGGGCCACTTCTGATTCCTACTTCTCCTCACTTTGTGTCAGCCCTGGGATGTCACTGTCACATTCCCAGGGTCAAAGGACGGTGTCCCATGGACCCCACCCTGCACAGGGGACTCACACTCTCCAGCAGTTGCAGACATGGCACTCATGTGGCTGGGGGCTCTGCCTGCAGCGGGAGACCGGGGGCTGGGCAGGGCTCCTCCAGGTCCAAGTCTTCCCCGATGCAGCCCATATTGCTAGGGGTCCTTTGTGGGAGAGGAGGGCAGAGGCTGAGCCTGTATGTACTAAGGCAGCTCAGTGGCCTGTGGTGGACCCAGCTGTTGGCCCCATGCATCCTGCATCAGGCCCAGGAAGCAGTGTCTGAATACCAGGCTGAGAGCCCCACCCACCGCCCCATGCACTCACCGCAGCCCCTCCTGCCCAGGCCCATGTGCCTGGTGTCTGAGCAGCGACAGGAAGTCCAAGTGAGGCTCCTGCACCCTACAGCTCCGACCACTGCCTGCTCCCCCAACCCAAGGTCACAGTGACCCGTGCTCAGAGGCAGTCCCCTCCTCGTCCAGGCTCAAGCCTTCCCTTTCCTCCTCAGTGGGAGCAGCAGGTGGCTCCACCCACTTTATAGGGACTAAAGGGGGAGATTCACTGAGGTCAGAGTAGAGGGAGAGGAGCAGCCAGGGTCACACTGCCTAAGACCTCCCTCACACTCCGTACCCAGCAGCAGTCAATTCTGAGTCCATGGCCAGGGAGCTGTGAGTTATCAGTGAGGCTGGGAAGGCTGTGAGTGCTGCCTGGGTCCCTGGGGAGGAAGCACCTGCTATGGCTTCTCCCTTGCCCCAGAGAACTTGTGTCCAGGACCCTATAACCAGCAACAGTTGTTTTTAAAATTTTTAATAGAAAAATGTATCTAATAAATACAAATTTCAAAAGTACAACTTTTGGATTATAGCAGTTCTTCCAGCCATAACCACCCTCCCACCACAAACCATCCTATCACCTACTCCCTCTCCCATCCATTGTTCATTAAGATTCCTCTTTAATTATCTTTATATATAGAATATCGACTCTATACTAAGATTTCACAGTTTACACCCATATAGACACACATAGTATAAGTACTGTTTAAAGACGAGTTTTATCACTCATTCTCATAGTACAACACATTAAGCACAGAGGTCCTACATGAGGAGCAAGTGCACAGTGACTCCTCTTGTTGATTTATCAATTGACACTCTTATTTATGATGTCAGTAATCACCCAAGGCTCTTGTCAGGAACTGCCAAGGCTATGGAAGACTCTTGAGTCTACAAACTCTGACTTTATTTAGACAAGGCCATGATCAAAGCGGAAGTTCTCTCCTCCCTTCAGAGAAAGTTACCTCCTTCTTTGATGTCCCCTTTTATCCACCGGGATCTCATTCACAGAGATCTTTCATTGAGGTCATTTTTGCCACAGTGTCTTGGTGTTCCATGCCTGAAAGGTTCTCATGGGCTTTTTAGCCAGATCTGAATGCCTTAAAGGCTGATTCTGAGACCAGAGTGCAGCACCAGTTTGAATCTGCAGCAAACCCTGCTCACTGCTGCATGGATCCACAGCACCCCCTGGTGACATGAACCACAGAATGGAAATGACCTGGAGAATTCCCCAGAATGTTCAGCAGTGCTTTTTACCTTTGAACAAACATGGAATTTTGTTTTCTATGCCACCTCCTCCAGCTCAAAAGAGGATTGTTTGTGTTATACTGTTGTTATTTGGAATTAGTACGTTCTTCATTTCCTGGCCTTCCGTGCCATAAATCTCCTCACTGTCTGAATTTCATTTTAAATATTAACTCTGTTTTTATTTCTATGGGAATTTTTCTTGTTTGGTCACAACCCTGCTCCGGGCTGTGAGGGAGAGGGGAGCCAGGCCATGGTGTCACACTCTGGGGATCCCACAGTCTCAGTGCACAGTGGGGTGTGGTCCCAGGCGTGTTCCACCCACACTCTGCCCAGCAGCCCCCCCAACTGTGATTCCTGTAGCCAGTTGGGGTCTCTTCCTTGATGAGCCCTGGGTTCTCTGACTGCCCCTGATTGGGCTACCCCAACTAACAGCAGAGTGACAGCCTGCATTGCCTGTCTCCATGTGAAGCCCAGTGCATACGGATCCAGCGATGCATCCTCCCAGGGCTGGAATCCCATCTGTGGGTGTTCATAGATTCTGAATTTCTTCTATCACCGCCCCAAGGCAAATGCATTTCAGCCAGGGCCGTGGCATCCAGAGCCTTGCTCAATCTTCAGTGAACCAATTGCTTGACCACCTTGAGGGTTTTGACCCTGCACTACTGGATCTGCCCATTTTATCAGATTTATATTTTATTTTATAGCTTTTACTGAACCAGACCTTCAAATTCTGTTACATTTATTCTCAACTGTGTTTTATTTTTCGGCTGCTGTAAGAGGCATTGGTTGTGGCTATGCATGCGTGTGGGTGCCTGGTGGTGTGGAGAAGGCAGCTCCCATCAGCAGGTGGGTCTGTGCCCTGGAGCCCTGATGATGCTCAGACAGGAAGTGTCCCAGAGTCACTCACAGACCAGAGCTGTGCATGACATTCCAGCCCTGGTTCCCCTGCAGCCCCCTCGGAGGGATTTGCCCTCTGTCCAGGGGCTCCCCGGGGGTAGAAGCATTGTGAGGGCCATGTGGGCAATGGTCCCTGCCAATCTGGAGGTGGAGAGAGGGAGATGGTAATCTGACATCAAGCAGCTGAGGACAATCTGGTGATGACAGAGGAGGTGAGGGCTGAGTTCACCTCCTATGCTGGATGGGGTCAGAGGCAGCAGCATCAGGGACGACCCTAGGTCAGGAGCACCCAGGGGAAGTTTTTTCTCACTTCCTCACAAGTCAGGAACACTGTGTTTCTTTGAGCTGCTATCCCATACTTTGCAGTAATAGTCAGCCTCGTCCTCGATCTGCAGCCCAGAGATGCTCAGGACGCCTGCATTGGCTGAGGTGTCCTTGGATCCATAGAAGCGGCTGGTCACCCCAGGTCCCAGTGATGTACTTGAGTAGTAGTACAGGAGTAACCGGGGAGGGCTCCCTGGCACCTGCTGGTGCAGTATATGGTGTAACTGCCATCACTGTAGCCAGTGCTCAGGGTGCAGGTGAGTCTGGCCGTTGTGTCCAGAGACGCAGACAGGGAGGGCGGCTGAGTCAGCACAGGCTGGGAGAGGGAACCTGCAGACACAGACACACGGGGAGGGGGCAGAGGTCAGGCTCACGTCCCTCAGGGCTCTGAGCAAGGGGTCTGAGCCAGGCTGGGACCTGGTCCCCAGGGCCGTCCCTACCTGTGCAGTGAGAGAGGAGCAGCAGGAGCAGAGGAGCCCAGGCCATGGTGGTCACAGCCCTGATGCCCACAGTGCGCTGTGCTGCCCCAGGCCTCCTTTTCTTCCCCAGCCTGTGCCAGAGGAGGGCTGCTCATGCAAATGAGGCCCCACCCAGTGCCAGCACTGCCCCTCCCTGAGCCCTGGCGCTGGGGCTCTGTTTGCACCGCAGACTGAAGAGGAAGAGGGTTTGTTGCCCTCCCTGGGGATGCCTTGGGGGAGGGAAGCACCTGTGAGACCAGACAAAGGTCCTTGCTCAGGGGACTCTGTCAAGTCGCAGAGGGTACAGGGGCTGCATCCCCATCAGTGAGCACAGGGTCCACACGGCAGTCCCACAGCGCCCCCTGCTGGTGGTGATGCATACACTTCCCCATGACCCAGAGACCTGAGGACCACAGAAATTCTGCAGCTCCCCAGTCACTGTGTCCACTCACACACCCACGGCCTGATTGTAGATGCTGGCACCCGATTAATCTGTGTAGTTCCTCTCATTTCTCACCCCTGCAGCAAACCTAGCATATGGGACACACATTAAGTTGTTACCACTTATTTATTTAATTATTCATTTCAAAGGTGCGATGGGGTAGAGCGGGAGAGAGAGAGAGAGAGAGAGAGAGAGAGAAATGCTCCATTTTCAAGCTCACTCTGCAAGTGGCTTCAGAGGCCAGGGCTGATGAGCCACACCATGGACAGTATCTGATATCAGACAACTGAAGCTTTGGGTGGAGTTGATGATGACAGATGCTTTGAAAAGCAAGTTGAGAGTTTCAGTGTAATTCCCACTGAGGTGGAAATCCTAGTGTGAGAGCTGGAGGCTCACTGTTGGACCAGTGGGGGCTCTGACCACTGTGCTGTGTGGGTACTGAGAGCAGCATAGCACTGTACACACAAGACACTGCCTGTGTACTTTCTGTCATCCCATGGTCTTCAGTGGACCCGTGGTCTCCAGGGAGAACTGTGTGATGTGGAGAGAGAGAGAGAGAGAGCGCGCGCGCAGTGTGTGCAGACAGCTTGTCTACCTCAGAGCTGGCTCTGGGAGACTTAGGTCAACAGTGTCTTCACCTTGATGGACAAAAGATCTATGAAAACATTCACAACTGGTGATGTGCCCATTCCTCAAAACATGAACTACTCTCTGAAGAGTATATACCCATTGCTGTCCAAAAACATACCTTAGTAACTTGACATGAGGTGTTAGAGAGACCAAGTAACTTTACCCATACATTTCTCTGTTAGACAATCATACAGGATTGTCCATTGCTGACAGAATGAGACAAGCATCCAGTACTTTCTTAGGATGCAGTAGAGGAATAGAGAATGACAAGGCTGAACACAGGAATCTTGGAATGTGAGCACTCAGAATAATGACGTTCAGAGTCCTCCTTCCTGACAGCATCGCTTCATGGGCACAGCATGGGTCCCCTGTTCAGCATCACCCAGAGTTATTTCAAATCCCATGGGCATCAGGAGGCTGCTCTCAGACTCTCTTGGCTGTGGCATCTGGGAGTCCTGATAAGAGAAGTGGCCATCAGCCTCAGTCTGATGGGAGGAGTAGATGGGGGGAAACTACAGATGAAGCTCCATGAATGTGACTGTCATAATTTGTAATTTTCTTGAATTTTAAATAATGCAAATTTAAGCATTAGCATTCACACACAGTTCATGGGGACTGCACTGGACTGGACAATTCTGATGGCACCGAGGTATTGGAGGATATAATGTGAAGCCAGTCCACAGGGCAAAAGACCTGACAGCATTGTCACCCAGCTATGTTTCTGCTCCTGTCTGCTTGTTTGACCCCACCCCAAAGTGGAAACTGAGAGACTGCAAGACCTTGACAAAACCGACTCCTTCTTTATGCCATGTTTCATGAAGACGCTCTTAGAGAAGCCACCATGATAAATACATTTTCTATTCTTAGGGGAATTGTGAAAATTTTTGAAGTGTTAATTGGATACTTGTCTGGCCAACAGTCATGTTTAACACATTGGCTGGGTCAAGACTCCATCTTATTGGGTAATAGGTTGAATGACTACATGTGCTTGGGACACTGATCATGGACCAATGAAACCATTTGACTCTGTGTGAATATTTTGGATGGTCAAAGGGAATCAGCATCACAGAGACAAATTCCCTGTGCCTGTGGACAGCAGCAGGACACAAATGAGATTTAAGCCATAATCTTGCCTGGAGCTGACAGAGGTGATTCTGATCCAGCCCACCTCACACTGGGGCTATTACTTGCCCATTGCCTCCAGGAATATTTGAACATGCCTGGAGATTGTTTCATTTGTCGGGACTAGTAGGGACTACTGGACCTCCCAATGTCCTGCTCTGCAGTGAAGCCCTCCCCACAAGGAAGAATCTGCCCAGCACATCCACAGCACCCAGACTCAGAAACCCACTTGTGCACCCAGCTGTTCCATAAGTGACTGAGAAGGGAGCAGGGGGCCATCCATGAACGTGTGGGGAACAGCACATCTCCACGCTGGGAAGAACAGAGAGGATCCATGTGCATGGATTCCAACCCCAGGTCTCCAGCAGAACACAGAGCAAAGAGCGACCTCCTGCTGGGCACAGGCTGGGGCACAGCTGGGCGGGGACCCTGGGGAGTTTCTGTCTCACTTCCCCATGATTCTGGATCACTGTGGGATTAGCACTGCTATCAGAAGACAGACAGTAGTAGTCAGCCTCGTCCTCAGCCAGCAGCCCAGTGATGGTCAGGGAGGCAGAGTTGGAGGTGCTGTCGATGGAGCCAGAGAACCGATCAGGAACCCCCGACGGTCTCTGATCATCATTGTAGATGACTATGGTGGGGGTCTTGCCTGGGTGCTGCTGGTACCAGTGCACATAGTAATCCTCAATGTTGTCACTGTCGCGTTTGCAGGATATGGAGACCGTCTGCCCCAGGGATCCCGACACAGACTGGGGCTGAGTCAGCACAAACTGGGCCCAGGACCCTGCAGGAGAGAAGACACACACACATCCGTGAGGACAGGTCAGCATGGCCCCCTAGGAGGGGGGAGCAGGCAGCATCCAAGGTGCCACCCAGGTGCACTCCCAGAATGCCCTGCAGGCAGCCACCTGTGCAGTGAGCCAGGACTGTGAGGAGCAGTGGAGCCCAGGCCATGGCTGAGATGCCCAAGTCCCTGCTTCCTGAGCCCACAGTGAGGGCTGACCCAGCCTCCCTTCTTATCTGCTCTTCTGGTCCTCAGAGTGGGAGGTCTCCATGCAAATGTTTCTCACTCTGGAGGCTGTGAAGCCCCTCCCTCAACCTCAGCCTGCATTCTGCTTCAGAATAGGGAAGCCCCTATAAGGGAGAAAGGGCTCCTCCATGTGGACGAAACAGGAACTCCACCAACAGGCAGGAAAGCAGCTGAGGAGCTGTGGAACCCTGAGCAGGTGCCTGGACCACAGCTCCCTCTGGTGGATGCAGGAGACACTTACATGCTGGATAGGTGCTGGTGATCAGGGCTCCTCCCTCCCCCACCAGCACCTGTCAGAACTCTAATCAGTGCCCAGGAGGTCTCTGTTCCCCATTTCATGCTCACGTTGAATTTAAGTCTTCCTGTCCAATCAAATGTGCTAAGTACCACTCATCTGGTTAAGACATTTTGTCTCAGTTGTTGATGTTGGATTGAATTAACATCCCAGATAGAATGAGGTGTTTTTGGAAGGAGACAGAAATGAGGGACCTATTTTTTCCAGGATGAAGTACCTGGTGAGATTCTCTGAGATCTGAGTGGAAATTGGCCCAGCAGGAACGAGGAGGAAGCCTGGGTTGAGAGCAGACATCACCGACAGAAGACACAGAGAGCAGCAGGCTCTGGAGGAAGGGGGGGGGCACTGTATGAATCAAAGGTCTGCGTAGTCAAAACCCATTGATTAAATAAAGTACTCAGTTCCAGCCGGCGCCGTGGCTCAATAGGCTAATCCTCCACCTTGCGGCGCCGGCACACCGGGTTCTAGACCCGGTTGGGGCGCCGGATTCTGTCCCGGTTGCCCCTCTTCCAGGCCAGCTCTCTGCTATGGCCAGGGAGTGCAGTGGAGGATGGCCCAGGTGCTTGGGCCCTGCACCCCATGGGAGACCAGGAAAAGCACTTGGATCCTGGCTCCTGCCATCGGATCAGCGCAGTGCGCCGGCTGCAGCGGCGGCCATTGGAGGGTGAACCAATGGCAAAGGAAGACCTTTCTTTCTCTGTCTCTCTTTCTCAATGTCCACTCTGCCTGTCAAAAATAAAAATAAAAAAAAATAAAGTACTCAGTTCCATGGTGGTAGACTGTTGAGGCACTGATCCAGTGAATCTGAAAACACTATGGGATTAGAATGTGCACGACTGGATCTCCTGGCAAATGTGGGAAAATAGAGTTGATGTAGGCTGGAAGCTGTGGTGTGTGCACCTGCTGCACATCACTGCTGTCCCCCTAGAGATCTTACACAAACTCTGCCCTGAGAGCCGGTGTTTCTATTCTGGAGAGCGAGGTGGCAGGAATGAGGTAGATGGAAGGGAAACTCTGCAGCCCACTGGCAATGGGACATGCTGTCCTCCTGTGGGCCTGGGATGAGGTACGGAACTAAAATGTGCCCGTGGGGTCCTTCATGGCCATGGGGTACTAAAGTCATTGAAACTCATGTATGATGGGGAAAATTTTATTGCAAATAAGACCCTACCCAATCCCTGCCTTGCCCCTCACTGAGGTCTGTTGCTGGGCTCTGCTCCTAGTGGGGGAATGGATTCAAGGTTTGCTTCATTCCCTGGGGCCTTGAGAGGAAGCATCTGCGGCTTAAGACAAATGACCTTTGCTAATTCACTCTGCCTGACCTGAGGAGACACAGACGCTGAGGCCCCATCAGTGAAAACCTAGCCCAACACCCAACCAGGCACTTTTGCATGAATGGTCCCGGATGAGCAGCTGTGGAGGAATCCGAAGTTTGTCACACAGCGCCCCCTGCTGGCAGAAGGGCACAAGCCTCCCCATGGTCAGGAAGCCCTAGAGCCCAGCTGGTTTCTGCAGCTCCCTGGTTTCTGTCTCAATTCACAGGGACCCACGAATCCAGCCCAGCCTACTGGGCCCCTTCCCCTGGCAGAGTGTATTTCTTCTCTATTGTTCTCAGTTTAGCAACAGATTTATGACTCAAAATCTGCTCTTCAGTGAATCCAGAATCCCAAAGCATAATGTCCAATAGAAAGGGTCATTACTGGCCTTAGATCTGTTGTTGGAACTGGGATTCCAATTTATTTGAATTCACACGTTCAGTGACCTGGGCTGTTGGTTTTTCCCCTGAGCCGGGCAGTGTCTGGGCTCTGTGGATGCAGCAGGAAGAACCACAGGAGAGAAGCTCCCTGCTCTCTAGGAGCTTGGAGCACAGCGGGGGAAACACTCAGGAAACAGAGTCCTGGAGACAGGTCCTCCTGGCTGAGCCCTGACCACGCTCACCCTGGGAGCCTGGTTCCCACTCCTGACTCCTGGGAGCTGCTTGTCTCCCATGAGACCCAGACACCACCCTCCCCCAGGCTCTGTCCAGAGCCTCGCCAGCTTGGCCACCCTCTGACCTAATCCTGGTGCCCATGTCCTTCACAGTTCACCAGGGCTAGGAAGCCTCCTGGGGGGATTTTACTACCGTGAATCCCATGATCCTTCACTCCTTAAACCATGCTCTGAGTAATAGTTCAAATACATGCATCTGATAAGGATACTTCCTGCTTGAAAAACTCCCTCAAATTCTATCTCCGGCCAGCACCACAGCTCACTTGGCTAATCCTCTGCCTTGCGGCGCCCGCACACGGGTTCTAGTCCCGGTCAGGGTGCTGGATTCTATCCCGGTTGCCCCTCTTCCAGGCCAGCTCTCTTTTGTGGCCAGGGAGTGCAGTGGAGGATGGCCCAAGTGCTTGGGCCCTGCACCCCATGGGAGACCAGGATAAGTACCTGGCTCCTGCCATCGGATCGGCACAGTGAGAGGGCCGAGCGCACCGGCCGCGGCGGCCATTGGAGGGTGAACCAACGGCAAAAGGAAGACCTTTCTCTCTGTCTCTCTCACTGTCCACTCTGCCTGTCAAATAAATAAATAAATAAATTCTATCTCCAACAAGATGAAATAAATCTCTCAAATATCTCACACAGGGTTTCTCTGGGAATCCCAGTTCCTGCCTTACCTGTCCCTCCTGTGCTGGGACAAAGGCAGAAGCAGATGCTACAGGCAAGGAGGATACGGAACTAAGGGACAGGACATTCCTCTCTAAGTCATTCTGATCTCCCAGCCCCATCACTGTCAATCACCACTTAGAACCCAACACACACCACTGACCACCCTGAGAATTCCAAACGTTTATTTTTATAATTTGGTTTTTATTGTTGTAAAAACATAGAATACTACATTACCACTTTTGAATATTTCAGTGCTGTCCCCAGCTGTACTCAGGCTGTTGTGCAGTGTGTGTAGAACCAGGCACAACCAGCACTCAGCAGTGTGTGTTGTCCCAGGAGGATCTTGTTGAAGCTACATTGCAGGTGGTGGGAGAAGTCACCAGAGCTCTCAGAGTGAGGAGTGAGATGACTGAGCACTCTGCCAGGGAGCAGCAGGTGAGGCCGCCACAGGAATTTTGCAGGAGTGGTCAGTCTAATAAACATGGAGGAGGCAGAGTCAGGTCACGTCCTTTACACCCCCCACAATGGTGTGATACCTCAGCCGACCTACAGGGGGCGACAAGCGTTCTGTTATTTTTGCACCATGGCTGCAGATGGGCAACCCTCTGTGGGAATTGGGCCCAGCATGTGGTTCCCAGGGATCCCAGAGCGGGACCATGGGGGAGTACAATGCATCTGGTTCACTCCTGGGAGCATTGTGCACAAAGGCAAAGTGTTTGAGGGATGAGGAGACCAGACAATGTTTCAAGAACCATTCTGAAGACTTGGTAACAGAGAAACAAGTTTGTGTCCCACTTCCCCGCTCATCTGGGTCACTGTGTTTAACTATGCAATCCATCAATGAGAGAAACTACACCACAGATGTAGTCGGCTTCATTCTCAGCCTGGATGCTGGAGATGATCAAGTTGTGGTCAGCCCCAGAGCTGGAGCCTGAGAAGCGATCAGGGACCCCGGTCCCCTTTTCATAGCTTCCATCACTCTCAAGATACAGCAGGTACCGAGGGGCCTTCCCTGGGTGCTGCTGATACCAGTCAATGGTGTAGTCGCTATGCTCAGAGCTCAGAGTGCAGGTGAGCTTGGCCGAGGCTCCCAGGGTGGCCAACGCAGAGGATGACTGAGTCAGCACAGGCTGGGACAGGGACCCTGAAAGCACAGACACCATTACCCTGGAGGAAGCACGGGGAGGGGGCATTGCTCCCAGGAGGTGGGGGAGTTATGTGACCTGGGGGTCTCAATGTGAGGCCCCTCCTGACCTGTGCACTGGAGGAGGGTGAGGAGGAGGAGGAGCGGGGTGCAGGCCATGGTGCAGACTCCCCAGGGCTCAGCCGAGGCCGACGCTCTGCAGGGCTCTTATCCCCGCCCTGGCCCAGAGGAGCCTGAGAAGGCCTTCATGCAAATCTTTCCTCTTGCTCTGATGAACCACACCCCACTGGGACCCGTGTGCAGTCACCATGGCGGGGTGTGCTTTTGCGAAGAGGAAGGCTGAGGCTGATCCTGTACTAATGCTGCTCAGGGGCCCGTGGAAGGCCCAGCTGCTGGCCCCAGAGCATCCTGCATCAGGCCCAGGAAGCGGTGTCTGAATACCAGGCTGAGAGCCCCCAGCCCAACCCCTGCACATCTACACCAGCCCCCCAACCCAAGGTCACAGTGACCCCTCCTAGGGGCAGCCCCCTCCTCATCCAGGCTCCAACCTTCTCTTTGCTCCTCAGTGGGACAGCAGGTGGCTCCACCCACTTTATAGGGACTAAAGGGGGAGATTCAGTGAGGTCAGAGTAGAGGGAGAGGAGCAGCCAGGGTCTCACTCCCTAAGACACCCCTCCTCCTCCGTCCCCACCAGCAGCCAATTCTGAGTCCACGGCCAGGGTACTGTGAGTTATCAGTGAGGCTGGGGAGGCTGGGAGTGCTGCCTGGGTCCCTGGGGAGGAAGCACCTGCTATGGCTTCTCCCTTGCACCATAGAACTTGTGCCCTGAACGCTATAACTAGCAACAGTTTTTTTTTTTTAATTTTTTATACAACACGTTTTTTTAAAGATTTATTTATTTATTTGAAAGTCAGAGTTACACAGAGAGAAGAGAGGCAGAGAAAGAGAGAGAGGTCTTCCATTCGATGGCTCACTCCCCAATTAGCACGATACGAATGCCTTAAGGGTTGATTCTGAGATCAGAGTGCAGCACCAGTTTGAATCTGAGTCAAACCCTGCTCACTGCTGCATGGATCCACAGCGCCCCCTGGTGACATGAACCACTGAATGGGAATGACCTGGAGAATTCCCCAGAATGTTCAGCAGTGCTTTTTCCCTTTGAACAAACATGGAATTTTGTTTTCCATTGCACCTCCTCCAGCTCAGACAGAGGATTGTTTGTGTTTCGCTGTTGCTATCTCAAATTTGTGCGACCTTCACTTCCTGCCCTGCTGTGTCATTGAATCTCCCCAGTGTCGGAATTTCATTTCAAATATTAACTCTGTTTTTATTTCTATGGGAATTTTTCTTTTTTATGTCACTTTTAAAAATACACTTACATAATTCACACCTGCTTTGCATGTATAGCTTATATGGTTTCACTTTCACATTTCCATTTGTTTCTAAGCATTTGACATTTTTTTATTAAAAGGATACACCCATGGCCTGACTTTAGAAGCTGGCATCCTGATAATCTGTGCAGTTACTGTCATTTCTAAAAGCTGCAGCATACTTGACATATAGGGCACACAGTGAGTTGTCACCACTTCTTTAATTATTTATTTGAAAGATGCAATGGAGGGGGAGAGAGAGAACGAGAGCAAGAGCGATAGAGAGGAAGAGAGAGATCCTCCAATCTCTGTTTCACTCTAAATGTCCAAAACAAGGCTAAGCCAGGTGAAGTCAGGAGCCCACAACTGCATCAAGGTCTGCAACCTGAGTGACAGGTACCCATGTCTTTGGCCAGCACCTGCTGCCCCCATCCATGCGCAGGAAGCTAGGTCAGAGGCAGAGCCGGACTTGATCCCAGGCACCCTGGTTAGAGAGGCCGGAATCCCAGGTGCCTATCATTTTTAAAGGTTTATATATTGACTTCAAAGTCAGAGTTACAGAGAGAGGGAGAATGAGAGAGAGAGAGAGAGAGAGTGCTTGCATTAGCCAGTTCACAATGCAAGAGGCTGCACAGTCCAGGGCTGAGCCGCTCCGTGGCCAGTATCTGATAACTGTAGACAACTGAAGCTTTGGGTGGAGTTGATGATGATCCATGTTTTGCAAAACAAATGGACAGTTTCAATGTAATTCTCACTGAGACGGAAATCCTAATCCTAATGTGAGAACTTCCCGCATCAGCATTGGACCTGTGGGGGCCCCTGAACTCTGTGATGTCGGGGTGCTGACACCAGAATAGCACTGCTCATACAAGACACTACCTGTGTTCCTAGTGTCCTCCCAGGGTCTTCGGGCTGCACCCAGTGGGCTCCAGGGAGAGCTGTGTGATGGGGTGAGAGAGCAGGTGTGTGCAGACGGTTGGTCAACCTCAGAGCTGGCTCTGGGGGAGTTGGTTCCACAATGTCTTCACCTCGATGGACAAAATACCTGTGAAAACATTCACAAGCAGGGATGTGCCCGTTCCTCACAACATGAACTACCTCTGATGAGTGTATACCCGCTGTTGTCCAAAAACATACCTTAGTTACTCCCATGAGACCTTTCAGAGACCAACTCACTTTACCAGCACGTTTCCAGCATTTGAAAATCATACAGACATTGAGTTTCTGACAGAATGAGACAAGTGTCCCAAACTGTCTCTGAATGTGGTAGAGGATTAGATAGGCTGACAAGGCCATGCACAGTGAATCCTGGAACATGAACAATCAGAATAAAGATGTTCAGAGTCCACCTTACTGACAGTTGTGCATGCAGCTGTTCCCTGAGTGACTGAGAAGGGAGCAGGAGGCATCCATGAACGTGTGGGGAACAGCACATCTCCACGCTGGGAAGAACAGAGAGGATCCATGTGCATGGATTCCAACCCCAGGCCTCCAGCAGAACACAGAGCAAAGAGCGACCTCCTGCTGGGCACAGGCTGGGGCACAGCTGGGCGGGGACCCTGGGGGAGTTTCTGTCTCACTTCCCCATGAGTCTGGAGCACTGTGGGATTAGCACTGCTATCATAAGACTGACAGTGGTAGTCAGCCTCGTCCTCAGCCAGCAGCCCAGTGATGGTCAGGGAGGCAGAGTTGGAGGCGCTGTTGATGGAGCCAGAGAACCGATCAGGAACCCCCGACGGTCTCTGATCATCACTGTAGATGACCGTGGTGGGGGCCTTGCCTGGGTGCTGCTGGTACCAGTGCACATATTTCTCCTCAATGTTGCCACTGTCGCGATTGCAGGATATGGAGACCGTCTGCCCCAGGGATCCCGACACAGACTGGGGTTGATTCAGCACAAACTGGGCCCAGGACCCTGCAGGAGAGAAGACAAACACACATCCGTGAGGACACGTCAGCACGGCCCCCTAGGAGGGGGAAGCTGGCAGCATCCAAGGTGCCACCCAGGTGCACTCCCAGAATGCCCTGCAGGCAGCCACCTGTGCAGTGAGCCAGGACTGTGAGGAGCAGTGGAGCCCAGGCCATGGCTGAGATGCCCAAGTCCCTGCTTCCTGAGCCCACAGTGAGGGCTGACCCAGCCTCCCTTCTTATCTGTTCTTCTGGTCCTCAGAGTGGGAGGTCTCCATGCAAATGTTTCTCACTCTGGAGGCTGTGAAGCCCCTCCCTCAACCTCAGCCTGCATTCTGCTTCAGAATTGGGAAGATCCATAAGGGGGAAAGGGCTCCTTCATGTGGACGGAACAGGAAGTCCACCAACAGGCAGGAAAGCAGCTGAGGAGCTGTGGAACCCTGAGCAGGTGCCTGGACCACAGCTCCCTCTGGTGGATGCAGGAGACACTTACATGCTGCCTAGGTGCTGGTGATCAGGGCTCCTCCCTCCCCCACCAGCACCTGTCAGAACTCTAATCAGTGCCCAGGAGGTCTCTCATCCCCATTTCATGCTCACGTTGAATTTAAGTCTTCCTGACTAATCAAATGTGCTAAGCACCACTCATCTGGTTAAGACCTTTTGTCTCAATTATTGTTGTTGGACTGATTTAGCATCCCAGAGAGAATGAGCTCTGTTTGGAAGGAGACTGAAATGAGGGACCTATTTTTTCCAGGATGAAGCACCTGGTGAGATTCTCTGAGATATGAGTGGAAATTGGCCCAGAAGGAACACGGAGGAAGCCTGGGCTGAGAGCAGACGTCACCGACAGAAGACACAGAGAGCAGCAGGCTCTGGAGGAAGGGGGGGGGCACTGTATGAATCAAAGTCAGTGTAGTCAAAACCCATTGATTAAATAAAGTACTCAGTTCCATGGTGGTAGACTGTTGAGGCACTGATCCAGTGAATCTGAAAACAATATGGGATTAGAATGTGCACGACTGGATCTCCTGGCAAATGTGGGAAAATGGAGTTGATGTAGGCTGGAAGCTGTGGTGTGTGCACCTGCTGCACATCACTGCTGTCCCCCTAGAGATCTTACATAAACTCTGCCCTGAGAGCCGGTGTTTCTATTCTGGAGAGCGAGGTGGCAGGAATGAGGTGGATGGAAGGGAAACTCTGCATCCCACTTTCAATGGAACATGCTGTCCTCCTGTGGGCCTGGAATGAGGTACGGATCTAAAATGTGCCCGTGCAGGCCTTCATGGCCATGGGGTACTAAAATCATTGAAACTCATGTGTGATGGGGACAATTTTATTGCAAATGAGGTCCTACCCAATCCCTGCCTTGCCCCTCACTGAGGTCTGTTGCTGGCTCTGCTCCTAGTGGGGGAATGGATTCAAGGTTTGCTTCATTCCCTGGGGCCTTGAGAGGAAGCATCTGCGGCTTAAGACAAATGACCTTTGCTAATTCACTCTGCCTGACCTGAGGAGACACAGACGCTGAGGCCCCATCAGTGAAAACCTAGCCCAACACCCAACCAGGCACTTTTGCATGAATGGTCCTGGAGGAGTAGCTGTGGAGGAATCCGAAGTTAGTCACACAGTGCCCCCTGCTGGCAGAAGGGTACAAGCCTCCCCATGGTCAGGAAGCCCTAGAGCCCAGCTGGTTTCTGAACTTCCCAGCTTTCTGTCTCAATTCACAGGGACCCATGAATCCAGCCCAGACTATTGGTTCCCATCCCTGATATAATGTATTGCTTCTCTATTGTTCTCAGTTTAGCAACAGATTTATGACTCAAAATCTACTCATCAGTGAATCCAGAATCCCAAAGCATAATGTCCAATAGAAAGGGTCATTACAGGCCTTCGATCTGTTGTTGGAACTGGGATGCCAATTTATTTGAATTCACACGTTCAGTGACCTGGGCTGTTGGTTTTCCCCTGAGCCGGGCAGTGTCTGGGCTCTGTGGGTGCAGCAGGAACAACCACAGAAGAGAAGCTCCCTGCTCTCTAGGAGCTTGGAGCACAGCGGGGGAAACACTCAGGAAACAGAGTCCTGGAGACAGGTCCTCCTGGCTGAGCCCTGACCACGCTCACCCTGGGAGCCTGGTTCCCACTTCTGACTACTGGGAGCTGCTTGTCTCCCATGAGACACAGACACCACACTTCTCCAAGCTTTGTCCAAGCATCCCCCAGTCTGCCGCCCCTGACCTAATCCTGGTGCCCATGTCCTTCACAGTTCACCGGGGCTAGGAAGCCTCCTGGGGGATTTGCCTACCGTGAACCCCATGATCCTTCACTCCTTAAACCATGCTCTGAGTGATAGTTCAAATACCTGCATCTGATAAGGATTCTTCTTGCATGGAAATCTCCCTTCAATTCTATCTCTAACAAACGGAAAAAAATCACTCAAGTATCTCACACGGTGATTTTCTGGGGTCACCACTGTTTGTTCCCAGTTCCTGCCTTACCTGTCCCTCCTGTGCTGGGACAAAGGCAGAAGCAGATGCTACAGGAAAGGAGGATACGGAACTAAGGGACAGGACATTCCTCTCTAAGTCATTCTGATCTCCCAGCCCCATCACTGTCCATCACCACTTAGAACCCAACACACACCACTGACCACCCTGAGAATTGCAAACGTTTATTTTTATACTTTGGTTTTTATTGTTGTAAAAACATAGAATACTACATTATCACTTTTGAATATTTCAATGCTGTCCCCAGCTGTACTCAGGCTGTTGTGCAGTGTGTGTAGAACCAGGCACAACCAGCACTCAGCAGTGTGTGTTGTCCCAGGAGGATCTGGTTGAAGCTACATTGCAGGTGGTGGGAGAAGTACCAGAGCTGTCAGAGTGAGGCGTGAGATGACTGAGCACTCTGCCAGGGAGCAGCAGGTGAAGCCACCACAGGTATTTTGCAGGAGTGGTCAGTCTAATAAACATGGAGGAGGCAGAGTCAGGTCACGTCCTTTACACCCCCCAGAATGGTGTGATACCTCAGCCGACCTACAGGGGGCGACAAGCGTTCTGTTCTTTTTGCACCACGGCTGCAGATGGGCAACCCTCTGTGGGAATTGGGCCCAGCATGTGGTTCCCAGGGATCCCAGAGCAGGACCATGGGGGAGTACAATGCATCTGGTTCCCTCCTGGGAGCATTGTGCACAAAGGCAAAGTGTTTGAGGGATGAGGAGACCAGACAATGTTTCAAGAACCATTCGGCAGTCTTAGTAACAGAGAAACAAGTTTGTGTCCCACTTCCCCGCTCATCTGGGTCACTGTGTTTAACTATGCGAACCATCAATGAGAGAAACTACACCACAGATGTAGTCGCCTTCATCCTCAGCCTGGATGTTGGAGATGATCAAGTAGCGGTCAGCCTCAGAGCTGGAGCCTGAGAAGCGATCAGGGACCCCGGTCCCCTTTTCAAAGCTTCCATCACTCTCAAGATACAGCAGGTACTGATGAGCCTTCCTTGGGTGCTGCTGCTACCAGTCAATGGTGTAGCCGCTGTGCTCAGAGCTCAGAGTGCAGGTGAGCTTGGCCGAGGCTCCCAGGGTGGCCAACGCAGAGGATGACTGAGTCAGCACAGGCTGGGACAGGGACCCTGAAAGCACAGACACCGTTACCCTGGAGGAAGCACGGGGAGGGGGCATTGCTCCCAGGAGGTGGGGGGAGTTATGTGACCTGGGGGTCTCAATGTGAGGCCCCTCCTGACCTGTGCACTAGAGGAGGGTGAGGAGGAGGAGGAGCGGGGTGCAGGCCATGGTGCAGACTCCCCAGGGCTCAACCGAGGCTGACACTCTGCAAGGCTCTTATCCCCTCCCTGGCCCAGAGGAACCTGAGAAGGCCTTCATGCAAATCTCTCCTCTTGCCCTGATCAACCACGCCCCACTGGGACCCGTGTGCAGTCACCATGGCGGGGTGTGCTTTTGCGAAGAGGAAGGCTGAGGCTGATCCTGTACTAATGCTGCTCAGGGGCCCGTGGAAGGCCCAGCTGCTGGCCCCAGAGCATCCTGCATCAGGCCCAGGAAGCAGTGTCTGAATACCAGGCTGAGAGCCCACAGCCCAACCCCTGCACATCTACACCAGCCCCCCAACCCAAGGTCACAGTGACCCCTCCTAGGGGCAGCCCCCTCCTCATCCAGGCTCCAACCTTCTCTTTGCTCCTCAGTGGGACAGCAGGTGGCTCCACCCACTTTATAGGGACTAAAGGGGGAGATTCAGTGAGGTCAGAGCAGAAGGGAGAGGAGCAGCAAGGGTCTCACTCCCTAAGACACCCCTCCTCCTCTGTCCCCACCAGCAGCCAACTCTGAGTCCACGGCCAGGGTACTGTGAGTTATCAGTGAGGCTGGGGAGGCTGGGAGTGCTGCCTGGGTCCCTGGGGAGGAAGCACCTGCTATGGCTTCTCCCTTGCACCATAGAACTTGTGCCCTGAACGCTATAACTAGCAACAGTTTTTTTTAAATTTTTTATAGAACACGTTTTTTTAAAGATTTATTTATTTATTTGAAAGTCAGAGTTACACGGAGAGAAGAGAGGCAGAGAAAGAGAGAGAGGTCTTCCATTCGATGGCTCACTCCCCAATTAGCCCGATACGAATGCCTTAAGTGTTGATTCTGAGGTCAGAGTCCAGCACCAGTTTGAATCTGAGTCAAACCCTGCTCACTGCTGCATGGATCCACAGCGCCCCCTGGTGAATGAACCACAGAATGGGAATGACCTGGAGAATGCCCCAGAATGTTCAGCAGCTCTTTTTCCCTTTGAACAAACATGGAATTTTGTTTTCCATTGCACCTCCTCGTTTGTGTTTCGCTGTTGCTATCTCAAATTTGTGCGACCTTCACTGTGGGGAGCAACTCGGAATAGACTAAGTTACTGGAATTAAGACTTATTCTATGCATCTGCGCTTCTACGCAGCTGCCTCTTGCCAACTTGAGTGATGACCTCCAGGAGCTGATCCTGCTCCTGATTGGAGGAGAGCAGCGTACTCGGCGTGTGGGCAGCCGAGTTGGGATTGGCGGAGGAGGACTATAAAGGAGGAGAGAGACGGCATGCACCAGGAACATCTAAGGGGAACACCTGAGGAACATCTGAGCAGCCCCCGAGAGAGCCGGCCGGCAGTGTGCCGCTCCCCCGCGGAAGTGGGGAATGTGGCAGGGGGAACCGCCCTTCCACGGAG